GATCTAATTGAGAGTAGAGGGCAGGAGCGGAGAGGCAAGCCGCGTCCTCAAGGGAACTCAGGATGGGTTTTTGAAGGGACTAAGCTTCTGAAATGGCAGGACTTTCGAGGCTGATCACTCGCTCTGAGATAAGCCTCAGAATCTGCTTCTCGTAATCCTTTATTTCGAGAGAACGACAACGACTTGTACCCCTAAACCGTTTTGCGAACACCAACTCATGTCAGACGTAATATTCATAGTCTCCCAGGCTATGCTCCTGCGAAATAAACTCCCTTGGAAAAGTGTTGGTTTCAGGCTGGCCAAGATGGTGGTCCATCTGAGCCTAGACCGTGGGAGTTAGCTGCGCCACCTGCATCTACACCTTTTTCTCCTCATGCGCGTAGAATTGGAAATTAAAATCAGGCTGATTAAAATCAAGTGTTATTGCACTAACTCTGGACCGACATGGGTGTTTAGAGGGTCCTCGGGCACCGATCAGCCTACCATGGAGGGATGAGGACTGGTTGATGTGAACCTCGCCGCTGTAAGATCAGACTTGAGGGAAGGCTATCCCTGGAAAAAAACTCACTTGGCAATTTTCCTAGACATTTTTTTATGTTTTTTGTGTAAACTGAGATCTTTCTCTTGCAGGGAGCAGAATTCCCCTTTGAAGAAGTCACCAAGGTATTTAGTGATCGGTATTTTGCCACACGAAGGCAGCAAATGAATCGTATGGTCAATAAGCGAGGAAAAGTCACGGGAGGGGGTGGGGCATTTTGCACTTTCGTTGCTTCACTAGTTCCCTTGTAAGCTCATCGAATCGCTCATGAAGTGAGTTTCATCCTAAATTTACAAGAATGAACAGGTAGTCTACAAGATTCCACGGGTCTCCCATACGATGGCTCTCGAAACCGCGTCGGATTTTGGGAATCTCTTTCTTTGTTGTTGTAAGCTCATCGAATCGCTCATGAAGTGAGTTTCATCCTAAATTTACAAGAATGAACAGGTAGTCTACAAGATTCCACGGGTCTCCCATACGATGGCTCGACACGTCGATGGGAAATAGCAACAGTGCGAATGCCCCCCCCCCCCATCCTCCCCGTCGCCGAAATGCGCCTAAAACACATGAATTCAAGAATTCTGTGAAGCGTCTCCTTGTAAAAATAAAGAAGTAGATTTTGAAGGGAGAAGATCTGAGGGCACGTGAGAGAGGATTCGAAGTTTCTGGAGAGAGAAATACACATCACACACGCCCAGACACGCACACAACTCATCACCCCCATTTGTTATGCTCTCGAACAGCTGCTCTGATTGAGAATATTACGACACACCGCGCCATAACTTTACCCGATTTATCCCAGTCCCCCCCCCCTCACGTCTCCCTATGCAAACACATGTTGTTTAGCCAATTCTCACTAAGATTCTTGTTCTCTTTCCGGTCGTTGTCATGAATCTGCCCATAAAACATGCGAGCAGAAGAAAAAACGGAGAAAATATTCACGGAATGCATGACTCGATATAATGTTGTAAGTATAGAACGAGCGCTCACAATCAAGTAGAGAATGCTGGCTCCAATGAGAAAGAGTTCCATGAGCGCCCATCCGCGAGCTTCCTGTTCACGTCGACGTGCCCGACAGACGACAGGGATCAGCGCCAAGCAAGCGACAGCACAGGCTGCATTTGCCACCAACAGCATCGGACGATCTGAAATGTCCTCAGTTGATCCCTATATGGGTGAAACATGGCAAAGAGCCAAATGGAAAAGCCGTGGTTGCTGCTGAGCGTTGGCATGTGTGAGGCTAAAAGTGCACTTGACACAGGAAATGAGCATTGCTGTGTACTTTCACCCTAAGCGTCATTAGCGTGCAATTGAGAGCTGAAGATAAGGCTCACTTCTGTCAGGATCTGTCCTACAAAGCGCTAAATCTTCGCCTTTACCACAGCACGTCTTTGCCAACACACGTAAACCGCCATGTACTGTCCATGTGCACTGAAATGAATTAGAAATGTTAATGTGATCGGCGCATTCAGCAGCTACTTAAGGTCTTTTGCATCAATCTTTTCATGGACGGATAGGCAAGAGCTGGGCTAAGGAAGAAGTAGCGTCGAAGTTTTTGAGTTGAGTGAACAATTGCCATCGTAAGAAAGCTAGAGACGGCAAGGTACATGCCTTTTCATCCTAACAAACTATGTGAAGATGTTCAGGAAGTCAGGGGATAACAACAAAATGCGGCGACTAAAGCAGTTAAAGGAGGGACATTTCCTGGGGGGAAAAACGACTTGAAATCGTGAGCAGTAGACGTAGCGCTAAGCTCTATCAAACGAGGAACCCCTCCATGGCTAAGGCGAGAATCCATGCGAATGTGGGATTAGCAGGTTGCGTTGATTCGGCCTGCGCGAGTGAGCCCCCGTCTGAAGATTGCAGCAGCAGCAGCAGCACAGCAGAGCAAGCACTATTGAATCTCGATAGGGCGCTCGGCCGCGATTCCTGAAAAGCCGAGCTCCTGACATGCGCTAGGCCCTGGCCAGATCCACTCACGGCTAGCGTACGGGTGCGAATTGCACCAGTGTTACTGCTGCTGCTGCTGCTAGGGTGTGACCAATGGAATCACTGCACGGGATTGTCCCCCCTAAAACACTTCAACACACAGCCAGGATCGATACGAAGCTGAGAGAGAATCTCAGTCCATTGAAGTGTTTATGAGCAGACTAACGTCGAAGAACAAAGAGAAAACCCTTCAGAAAACGCAAAATAAAATGCGAAAAAAATAGAATGCTTATGAACAATGAGGAACAATCAAAAGTGATCAGGATGGCAGAGAAAGAGAACAAACCTTTGTGCTGCAGGGAATACTATTGCATAGATCTAAATCGAATTCCATACGAAGAGTGAGGTAGGCTCGTCTGGTGGTCGCATTTGGATCCCTGGTGGGAAAGACGATTGTAGGCAGCCATCGGCTAGTAACGTTCTCGCAGCTGTATTCGAGAGCATATAAGGGATTGTAGCCGGTCAGATTGGCCCTCAGTGGCGGTTTCAGGTCGAATGATGAGTTCTCGAGAAAGGTGGCATCGAAGTCTCCTGGATGTTCGGCAAAGAACCGCGCAAGCGGAATAAGCCGCGGAAACCGTGCGTTGATGGCCGTTGAAAGCAGTCGACCGGCTGAGATCGCGCGACCACATTGGTGCGAATCGTCCAGCCGGGACAACAGTTGTGACAGGGAGTCTTCGGCGACGATGAGCTGGACCAGGTTGAGCAGGAGCTGGAGCAGCCGGCTGCCGCGCCAACCGCACCGCATCGATCCCGCCAGCCGTCTCTCTCCGCGTCCTCCCGTTCACTCAGTCGTCGTCGACCCCTGCATGTCTGCCCTGTTGGGGAGAGTCGTGAGCAGCCAGAGGCAAGTGCTCTCGCCGCCCTCGCTCTTCCCATCCCCGGGAGAAGAAGGAGCAGGACGGGCAGAAGAGGAGGAGGGGAGCATGGATAATAAGACGTCAATTACCAACACTCATCATTTGCTGGCCAGACTCGTCGAGTCGACGCGAAAGCCCTCTGCACACCGCCTTGTTCAGTCCTCTATAATGTAGAAATGACGCGCAGTACCTGGTCATTTACCCTCACCCCTCACTATTGCCACAATTGTAACGTCCATCTCTTTTATTCCAAAGCTTTCGGGGACAAGTGGCCCGACAAACCAAAGACTTCCCAACGGACTTGTTTTCCAGGAAGTGTTTAAGGATGCTGAAGGAAGCATCGACGCTTCTGTGACTGCATGTGGACGTGGCTATTTTGGGCGAGGTCTTCTCTGCGATGCTTTTTCGAGGGGATTTCGAAGGGAGTTAGTTACAGAAAGGATCCTTATAGAAAAACACAGAGCGCTATTGGGCTTTGCATGTTTCTGCACAGGCAGTTCTTCAGACAAATAAAACCATGTGCAGAATAATAGCAATATTCTGCTCACAGGAGCGGATAATGAGATCAGAGCAGCGTTTCTCCCTCGGCCACCAATTTGTCGATAATGGGAGGTCAACAAAGGAGGTTCTCTCTCTGCTTTTCAGCTACTGAATCAACTACCATGAACAAATAATAGTTAAATCGACTACCGCACTCCTAAGCAGGGTTTCTTATGATGGTTTTTTCTGAAACGTTCATACTTCCTGAAACCATCTCGGCGGGTAGATTTGAGCCAAGGAAAGGTTATACTCCAGAGTAAGTGTTTGGAAGTTCTTGGGATTTCGGTTTCCTGCTTAACCACTCTCCTTCTCTCCCCACCCCACAGCTTTGCAGTTTTAAACCACTATAGTCTTGTTCGCTGCGGTAGGTCAGTAGGAAAAAGGGGATTGGCTTTCACGTGGTGCCAACTGATTTCCCATCGATTTCGGTGACCTTTCAGCTTTCACAACTGGCGGAGAACGGGCTGCACCGCACTAAACAAGCCTATTACCCGTCACAGATAGCAACTCAAGGACTGGCCTTATAAGGATACCTTCTTTGAAAAAGGCGCTACGCAGCACCTGCTCAGATACGCGGAATTCCATCCTGCCAAGCGTATTAATCCAACTCGTCTTAGGGATTTATCGCGCCAGAAGCCTTTAATGAACACCCATGATCCACTTACCAAAAAAGTACCAGGAGGTGTTGAGATTCCAGCGCGTCTTTCACTAGTGGTTGCTTTCTAGATGGACTTGCTTACTGTTAGTAGGAAAAGCAGCCCGTGGGTGGGCTCACTCGACGCCTCGACCAGCGAGGGGCTAAGCCTTCATTGTGAGCCTGGAACGTCCAAGGTGCACCCTACGTGTTCCGACGACGGGGAGAGACGTGGCTTCGCACTTTGATTGGGTATGCCTACGAGTGCGGCGATGTATATGCCGGTGCCCTGGGGAAAATTACGCGCTCATACAGATGACGGTTGTGTCACATTGAAATTATGGTACCTGCGATTTATGCCGTGTCGCCAATGAAGCTTCATTCCACGCCTATAGCATCTTATCTCAATCTTTTGCCTCTGTCCCAATGCTCCCTCTAAAAGGACCATCCCCTTAGTAACCGGCCAAAGTTGCAGGTGATTCAGAGCACATAGAGCCTAAAATGAGCGCGTTACATAGATCTCTTTTTTCGCTGCTTTTGGCATTCCTGAAACCGCTCAGCGAAAATGAAGCCCACTTTTGTGGTCCATATGCAGGGCCCTACAAAATGCAAAAAGCCATTTTGAAAGTGCCACGCCCTGAACGACCTCCCTTGTCAGACATATATAGTCAAATTGTGGTCTACACTTACTACCCCTTGAGATCCCTGAGATCGGCCGGGTAGGCGTGCCGCATATTTTCAATTTACCCTTAAGGCGTCTACGCTTCTGATGCGATATTTTCGTCTCGACACAATCGTTGTCGTGTCTCTGTCCAACAGAGAACAAGATGACCATTGCCCCAGGCTGGAATATTCCACTATTAACCAGTTCCTTACAGTGTTCGAATGCTCCGCCTACCCGATGTCAGGGATTTCGAGTATACCTGAGGCGCGGTAGCAGTGGCTCCGGTTCGAAATAACCCTGGGCAGCAATGCTCCTAAGACAGCATCATTCAGGTGGCCAACAATCGGCGTCATCAGTAGGTGCTGAGGTGTTGAGAAATGGAACTTCTGCCCCAAAGTTGTAAATACTAAAATTGAAAGCCTCTCCATTTGTCCTCAGCTTTTTTCTGCGCGCGCGTGGAAAGCTGGCTATTTCTCTACTACACCATCTCCGCCCTCCACCAATGTCGTTCAATGGAATGTTGTCGGTCCTCTCCAGTAAATCTTTGAATTCCATCTGTTAGACTAGCTGACTGATACAAACAACAGCGGTGAGTTCTGCCGGAGGTAAAAGGCGAGGAACCCTGGAATCTATCATCGTTGGAGTTCCCATGACACTCTGGCAAACATCTAAAGAAGTTATGCGATTGTTTTGCCACTCAGATTCATCAAAATTTGGCTCATGCTTCCAAGTCCTTTGATCTTATGAGAAAGATGCAAATGCCATCTGCTTTCGTGCACTTCCAACCCAATTAGATGAGACCACGACACGCAGTTAAAGTAGAGCAGCTCTTACGCTCGGTGCCGAAAGGGTGCATAAGAAGGACTGTACCTGGTTGCTAGGAAGGGTCGTATCTGTTTTGTTCAAAGACCCACCACAATAAAGGAAATAGATGTTGGATGGGGGAAATTCCGAGATAAAATTGGGATGATCCCCCTCAATGCCACAATACGCCCTTAGCAGATGCGATACGAGAACGAGTGGCCAGTGAGTTGGCGTAATTGTCTAATTGGTGCAGAGTGAAAGGTCATTAGCAGACCTTTTTTGTTGTGAACGTTCACCCAGAATCAGACTGATTCAATGGCTTCCTACATTTCTTCTGGAAGATGTTCTGAATCAGCGCGACGCACTTACGATGATTTTTTTTATCTGATAGTCAGTGGGTGACGCCTTTCGCGTCAATTGATGATGACGCAAACCACTTTTTTTGGGAACTTCAACTTCACAAATGCGCACTTCCCCCATCCCACCCTCGACTTGACCTAATTACGATAGTGAAATCCAGGCGATGTGTCCACTTTAGTCTCTTGTTCTATGCACATCGTCTGAGGGCCAGCACTGATTGGGTGTAGGACTTTCTTAAAAGATCTCACTTCACACCTATCATGCCTGTTGGGGAGATTCGCCTGCGGTGTTACCTGACTTAATTGCTCTATCAGTAACTCCTGACCTTTCCTCTACTTGACAATTACATCATGATGACTGATTATTAACTGCTGGTTTTCTAGCAAATTTAATCGGACTAAGGACTACAATTAAAAAATTCGAATCACATGAAGCAACCAAAGATGGAAACATGTTAAATATGAATTAAATGAAAGCCCACTAAATTTTAGCTTAGATGGTAGTGTTAGTAACAAAATCTAAGACATTTCGACAATATCTTTATCTTCCGTTTCCGCTTCGATTTGAGATGCGCCATTTCGAAGACATACAAGCATCGAAGTTCAAGAAGAAAACGTGCACAAAGGGAAAGGGAGTGGTGTACTGCCGGAGAAGTCATGGAAAATCAGAGAATTGGTGGGAACGGAATAAAGGGAGGAGTTTTATCGTTCATGCTCTACTCTGCGTTACACAAACAACATTGCTAAAGATTTCCGCTGATCAGCCCGCTTAAAAACTTATTAGCGACGACCTTTATATAGGTGTGAGGTTGATAAAAGAGATGCCTAACAGTTTAACGTAGTGGCGGTCATATTTAACGAATTAACCTCCCTAAAGAGGGGCATCAATAAAGTCCTTGCAATTGCAGCGAGTTCTTGGCGCAAGACACATTCAACCGTCATGTAATTACAGAGCCTAGAAGTTCATATCATTTGGGACACATTCCATGATGAAAGCATACGAATTTTTTCAATACGTGCCCCTTTTTTCCTATTTGGATTACAGTAATTTCATGTTATGTACGTCTGCATTTCAGTTGTTGTAAGTGGTTAAATGTGTTATTTTTTTTTTTTTTTTTTTTTTTTTTGTGTTTTTGACATTTTAAATTTATGAAAACATCTTTTTTTTCTGACATTTCCTACGTTTACTTTCATTTTTCCTTCTACTTTCCATGTTCAGGTTTGGCTCAGTCGTGTCTGTAGTCGAGAGGTCAGGAGTTAGTGAGAGAGCAATTAAGTCAGGTAACACCGCAGGCGAGTCTCCCCAACAGGCATGATATGTGTGAAGTGAGATCTTTTAAGAACACCACACACCCGCACTGATTGCCAGTCAGTACTCAAGGCGACAAGTATGTCTAAACAGTGCTTGATCACGTCATCCCGCTGATATTTGACCCTGATATTTACTCAACTCCTTCCACTTTTAAGTAGTAACTCATTCGTTTGTCGGGACAGCTTCGTGCTATTCAACTACCAGTGATCCATAGAAGGGTTGATTGGATAATGGGATTTAATCTTGTGGATAGTTCACCAGCTTCGCGATTTCTACACCGCATCACTTCGGACTGCAACACGGCTAGATACGTACAGCTTAATCACATCCCGGCGATGGGGAGGGCGTGGCTGCGTACGTCTTCGACCAGGAGTAGGGCGTAATTTCGTGGGACTTTTCCATTGTAGACAACTGTCATCCTGTCAAAGGCAACATTACAGTGGTCCCAAAGCTTCAATACCTCACCAGAAATGCAGCCGGCGCCACCTTCAAATGAAGTACGCGGCCACGCCTTCCCGTTCTTCGGGATAGCTATTATGTCTGCTAAAGGCCACATGCGATACTATGATCATGCG